CCATTTTGTTTTGTAACTATGCTAGAGAATATTGGAGTGAACAGAATTGTCATATTCTTGGCTTCTCCTTTTAAATAGAGATTGTAAAAAGAATTCCTAAACCTTATAGAAAGGAGGGCTAGAAAACACAAACTGGAAGGTAAGATCTTAGTACAATTTTAACTGAGCTTATATGTGATGTCAAGACAACTGCTGAACATGGTATGCGCACCTCTCAGCCAGGCCTGCTCTGTCCCTGGGCCACAAGGCTACACAATCCCTGGGGGTACCATTGTATTGGAGTTTAACTGAATGATGCCCTTGAATGTTGTTGACGGATGCATCACCTATGTGGCTTATATCAGGCGTGGCTTTTTCATCATTTGGTCAAGAGCTACTTCTCTTTCAAGGCCTACTTCAGAGATCCTAGCGTGATTCATACCCTCTTACTACCTCCTTTCTTCAAAATTAGTTTCTCCCTCCTTTGTGATTCCAGGGCATTTTATTTTAACCTTTTAAAGAATACTATGCCATTGTATTATAGTTAATAGTATTTGGGTGCCCATCTCCCTTGTTAGGTTTTGAGGTTTTAGAAGGCAGGGGCTGGGTTTTAATCTCATTTGAATTTGTGTGTGTGTGTGTGTGTTTTCTTGTTTGTTTGTTTGTTTTTTGGTTTTGAAACAGGATCTTCCTTCGTCTCCCAGGCTGGAATGCAGTGGCACAATCACTGCTCACTGCAGCCTTGACCGTCTGAACTCAAGTGATTCTCTTATTTCAACCTCCCAAGTAGCTGGGACGACAGTCATGCACCATCATGCCTATAAAGATAATTTAATTTATAATAAATTATTTATACAAACAATAATACTCAGTATATTTTCCCAAGACCTTGATAAAACATGACAGTGGTATTCTTTTCTTGCCATATATACTCAATTCAACACAACCAATACCATGCTGATTGTATGCTCTTCTACATGTTAAGGGGGTATCATGTACAAACCCCATCCAGGGAGCATGGGAGTCAATAAAACCTATACCTTTCAGAATTAAAATATGAGGCAGTACATGATTAGTGCTGTATTATAAGTGTGAACCACAGTGCTTTGGGAGCTCTAAGGGCTTGGGATTAATTCAATGATTGCACATAAAATCAGTTTGCACATAAAATCACATAAAAGCAGTGGAATTTCAGCAGGCAAAAATATACAAGGGGCAAGGGTAAGGGCAATGTCCAGCATGAAGATGATGGGGATTTTATGGTATGTGAGAATGATTACATATTAGATACAGAAATAGTATAGATTTTGCAGTAGTTGGGAAGAAGCCTGGAAAATTAGGTAGAATTTAAGTATGGTATTAATTACTTAAATACCATACTAAAAAGTTTAGAATTACGTCCCTGAAAAATTGGAACTCATCAAATGAGAAGCAAAAGAAGAAAAACTTGGATTTACAAAGCTTAATCTGGTAGTATTAGGCAAAATTAACTGAAGGGCAAACTTTGAAGATGGGGAGACCAGGTTAAGCAAAAGATAATCTGAGGACTTAATTTGGAATATAGCTATGAAAAAGAAAGGAGAGAATGAATGTGACAGTAAGATAAAGAATAAGAAATGGAAAATATTTCTGAAATACACTAAATAGAAGATATGGAAGTGGTATTGTGACAAATTATTACACAAACTTTCAATCTGGTATTAATTTTCAACACCTTTAGTGCCTCCAACATTATTAAAATATTAAATTAATCATTAGTAATAGTCATGTTTATTTTTTAGTGAAGTGGTAATGTTATTCTTAAATCTGTTGTCACATTTGTCACACTTGCCATTAGGTAATCAATCTATCAAGGGTCTTATTCACAATTCTTACAACCAAAGACTTAAATATCTCATTTTTCCTATTTTAGGGTCCAGGCATGGAATGTTTCTTAGTAAGTTTAAACAGAATTCAAAAACACCCATAGTGATAATATATGTAAATTTAGAACACTCTAAAATCTGAGTTATCATATAATATTTTATTTAAAATAATCAAAAGCTATTATACTTTGTTGCTAAATTTTGACTTAGACACTCCTAAGTGCTGAAGGAATGCCCCCACCTTAAATTTTAAAAAGTTGACTCCAGGGTCAACAGTGTTGGTACAAGATACAGAGATTGAATCTGTCAAGGGGAGATGTCCTGGAGAAGAAAACAAAGCAGGTACATACTTGCAGTTATTTGCTGCTGAGTACCTACAGAATTGGATTCCATCATTTATTGGTGGTGACTGGGGCTGATGGCCACTTTGGAATGCAGAAAAAGGAGGAGGAGGATGAAAGGGACAGGATGCCTCAGGGATCCATTCCCTGGTCTCATTCTTTCTCTTATTCTCCAGTCCCTCCTCACCAAGGACCCCGGGACATGCGCTCCACTCCTCCTGTAGGACTTCCTCATCTTTAGATCTTTGAGACATGGCTGGTGGAGGGGCTCAGTAATTTGAGGGATCTTTCCCTTAATAATATACTAAGAAGCTTAATAATCTGCTATCTAGATATTGATCCTATCTTTGGGTAAGGGGTCACAGAAACCTTGTAAGTTAAAAAAAAAAAGTGTTTTTTTTTTAAAAAAACAAAACTCCAGAAAAGGAGATATAACACATTTTCTTAGAAATCCTTCCTGGAATCCAAAATATTTTACTATATGAGTTGAAAACATTATCTACTAAAAGTGCAATTTATGTGTAGAGCATCAAACAGAATTTTATTGATACAAGTAGGTAAAAATATTTTTTTTCTTCATAAAATACTGATATTTTTGCAATTGAATGCTAATAATATGGATAGTAACTACAGAATTGGATTCCATCATTTATTGGTGGTGACTGGGGCTAATGGCCACTTTGGAATGCAGAGAATATTTATTCAATGTTGATTGAATAGACATTAAAACAGAAACATTTTTAATTGATCAATATTGCTTACATGTCTCAATTTTCTCAAATGTTTTATTGTATTCTTCTAAACAAATAGTACTCAAAATTCCTATGAAGCCTTTTTTTTTCATTTAAGAAAGGAAGGAAAAGAAAGGGACTGATTAACACAAAATTCAGGATAATCGTATCTATGCAGGAAGAGAGGGAAGAAGGATGGATTGAAGAGGGGTTCAGGGTTCCAAAGATATTGGTAGCGTTTCATTTCTTAAGTTGGATATGGGATACACAGATGTACATCTTATTTATTTACTTACTCGTGTTGTTGCATGTAAGCTACAAATATTTTGTGTCTGTTTAATATTTGATAAAATTATTTAAAGCAGATAATTGTAAGACATGGTACAAGTAAAGGGAACGATATAATTATTTTTAAAAAATAATGACACTGCTGCCATCCTTTAGGGTTATTAGGGCTATGGAACTAAGCAATTGGCTATTTTTCAAAATGTCTTGAGTTTTCCGTTCCAATCTATTAAACAAATAAGGTATTAAATACTATGGGAAAACTGAAGTAGAAAAACAGAAGAAAGACCTAAATACGGTGCTAAGGAATTACAGCTCCTTCAGGCAAGGACCTGAGTGGGGCTGTTTAGACATAAGAGGACTCTGTCTGCTGTTTGAAACGGGGAAAGACTGCTGACAACTAGCATTGTGGGGTGTGCTTTGCATGGCTCTTTCCAGAGTTCAAATCAGAGCACTGTAATTCAGCCATGTAACGTGAACCAGTTATCCTTAATTTCAAAATCATTATTGCATCATTTTCTTTCAGAATTATCGATTACTGTTTATTTATCGATCAAGACTAGTAATAAGACCCAGAATGGTAAAGAGCTGACTCTGTCCTTGAAAATGTTCAGGAGAGGCACCAGTGGTGTCTATTTCCTCAGGAATTCAGCTTTTACTGAGCATTACCCTGTGTTTATTTCTATCCTTCCTGTTCAATCTTTGCTTTTCTTTTGTCAACCTATTTGCTCTGAACAGTTGAAAAAAACATCCTAGGGTTTGTTATAAAGTGGGATCCTAACTCATGCTGAATTAAAAGTAAACTACATGTCCTGGGTACCTTCATGACTTTAGTTCTCTTAAAACTGAAACGGAGTGGAATCGGTAGCCTACAGGTGGAGCCTCTAAATCCCTTTATTACCCAAACCTTTATAATCTCTTTGTTTTTAACAAAGTATACACAAGAATGGTAGCAGAACTTCCCAGTTAACATGTCAGGAAATCTCTACTCAGATAAGAATCGAGCTCTTTGGGTTTACTCTTTTCACAAAATATTTAAAACCTAGACAGATCATTTAGATGTTGTTTATTTTGATGACCAGATAGATTCTTTTGTTTTGTAAAAGCCACATGCCCATTTTGCCTTCTTTGGGAATTTTTGTTCTAGCACCCTATCATTATTTGCTACCAAACTTCATATCTTTTGTTTGAAGCATCTGAAAATAAAAGTAGTTGTTTAACTAATTTTCTCTTGAGCTTAATTTGGCAATTATCAAATCACATTTGTCAATGCAACCACTGAATCAGATGTGACCCAGACATCAACATTTTAAAAAGCCTCTGTAACCTTACCTATTATTTCAAGTTATAGTAGCTACAAGCAAAATCTTGATTGGATCAATAAGAAACAAAAAGGTGCTCTCCTCTGTCATTTCAAAGTCATCTATTAAAACAACTCAAATATAAAATTTAACTACATTGGAATACAAATAGAACAGCATAATGAGGCTTATGTTTAGTAATGCAAAGAGCATTCTGAAAAGTATTTTAAGAAGAATTAATCTAATTCTTACTATTAATATTCTTCCATCATTTGATTTTTATTCTTGGACATGTGGATGCTATAAACAATGCAATGTAAGATTCATAATTCTTTCTCTTTCTTTTTTCTTCTTTCTCTTTCTCTCTTTTCTTCTCTCTCTCTTCTTTCTTTCTTTCTTTTTTTATTTCTTTCATCTCTCTGTCTTTTCTCTCTCTTTCTTATTCTACGTTCCCTTGTATATAGTGAGACATTTCAGAGAATCCTATTTTTTCTTCAGGCACATGAAGATGATGTGAATATCAAAATGACAAAGAGGACCCAGGAAGAATGACAATGAAATAATAATAGGTTAACTCAACTCATATTTAATTAGGTTCTTGGTAAGTATGTAGTATATCGTTAATAACTACTTATTTACTCAGAAATCATGTTTGTTTTTTGGAAAATAAATTTTATGCTGCAATTTAGAGTAATACTTAGTTTTCTTTAACTATTGAAAAGGCATTAGCAATATTGTATTCTATGTTACACTTAATGGCCATTGCCAAAGCTACACAGAAATATGTAAGATGGTTATTTAATAGCATTCATTTTGCCTTATTATTCCTTGTGGTTCCAAACACTAGAAATACCATTGATAGCTTAAAAACTGTTACATATGGCTGGAACACAAAGTTATTTTTTTTTTGCCATCATTGTAAGGGATACTGTGCATCTTATATATCTTGATATCCTATGTACCGAAAGTGACATCTACTGGAGAAAGCAGAACTGAATATTTACTTTCCAAACTATTTTTTCTGCTAAACTTCCAGGCAAGTTGCACTGTCTTCAAGATTATCCGAAACTTGTAAAACAAAGAAAGGTTTTACTTAATTCAGTATGGTGTAAAGCCTGGTTGGTTTTGATGATCATTTTCTTAAAGCCGCCTTGTGGGAAACTGGTTATGGGGTCCACACAAATTATCTGGTAAGAAACGCTATTGAAGATATCTGGAAAACACAACTACAGCACATTCCCTTAAGAATGAAACTGAAATTCTAAATAACCATGAGCCATTGAGTGATGGATTTGAACAGGACTCCACTGCAACACTTTGTCTGAAAATCTTTTTGGAAAATATGTAACTTCTTTACATGGTCTGGAAATAGGAGTTGTAAAACAAATATGAGATTAGAATACATAATATCTTTCAGATAGAAAGACATTCCCCTACGCTAGTTTGTAGCCTCATGATTATTTATTCATGTTAATAAGATACGTGTCTAACTGCATGATCTAATCAAACTGACGTTCTTAGGGAATGGGGGAATACTAACCAGGTGTTTTTCACTTGTGGTCAAAACTAAGAAATGACCTAAAGCCCTGAAAGACAGAAATTATATCAGCTTTATACTTATGCCAATAATTCCCATTCTTTACGTAATCACTTTCTCTTACAGAGGGCAAAAACCTTTTCTATCTTAATGGAGGGTACTGTGGTGGCCATTTTCAAGACTTTAATGAGGCATAGCTACCTTTGGCTGGTTCATACACATCATAAAACTATAATAGTGACTAGAAGTCCGGTTTCTTTGATTCTAGTCTGTTACCTATATGATAAACGTTGCTTCCATATTTGGATTACGCTGTATAATCCTCTGTAGTTTAAATGTCAGATTTTCTACATATGATTGTTATTATTATTTTACATTTTGATTTCATTTTTGTAGCAATGCTCTCTCACTCCCTCTGCTGGCCTTGTTAATTAACAAAACCAGTGCCTAAGTAGTCCTCGTGGGAATCAGTGATACCAAGTGGATGACCCGTTGACTGCCCTCTGTGTTGTGTCGGGAGCCAACCAGAAAATCATGCTGATTGTCCTCGGTATGAAACAAAAAAGGCCAAGAGAAAATTTGTTGTGGGTAGTGAAAACAGAATGGCATGCTTATTTTTACAGTTTTAAGAAAGAATTTAATGAAAGGGATAATTCACAAATCTTAAAAATGTGCTATTTTTCAAAGGAATAACACCAGTTACCCACATTCTATTGAAATGTATATGTACTTAGTAAAAGGCACTCAAAACAAGGTGTATCAATTGTGTGTTTCGGTGTTTACACACCGGAGGGTTAAATGAAGGTTGTCTGGCTTTGCTGGTAGGATTCTGAACCTGGATTAGATATATAGCTGTCCAATGGATCAGCTTCCCACATCCTAGAGTTCCATTATGGAGTTACAAAGAGAATGACAGCACTTGGCAAGTCCCAGGCCTAATCATAGCACAGAGAAGTGACTTTTGGAAGATACATTACCAAGCAATTAGGACCCATTTAATAAATTACCCCTTATGGAACACTTTGAACCCTAGTGGTCTGAAGAGGTTAATGCACCTCTCACAACTGAGTGCTACTCCGTTTCCAGGGGTAACTTCAAGGCCACAGCTAATCCAAACCTTCTTCTCATCAATGGCCTCTTACTCTTGAGTCACTTGGGTAGTCTGGCATCCGTAAGCCCACACACTTGCACTTCCACCCCTCTGCGTGCCAGATGCTTCATTTTCTTGCCGCTGAATCCATTGGGCGCAGTGCTCATGAGGCCAAAAGACTTTGTCCTGCACATTAACTTCCTCCTTGGGCTTTCATGCTTCTTATTTGGTCGTCTTTCTGTTTCTCTTATTTATAGAGAGTTTTAACTTCTGGGTTTAGTTTAAATGTTACATCTGATGTAATATACTTTCCTCCAAAATTGTTGAGTAGCAACCACATTTTAAATGAATCCAATACACAAAATTAGGCTTTAGGATATTATTAAATTTGTAAAAAAAAAGAAAACCAAAACAAAAAAACCCACAAAACCCCACAGTAGATGTATATTTGTAAACTGGAATCTTAACTATGGTTAGACACTAAAAAACATTTAAAATATAACTGTAAGGGAGAAAAAGCTTTGTTTGATGCTAGAATATAATTAGACATTTTAGGGTTTCATTTTAATTTAAATTCAACTTGAGTTTTTGGAATGAAAATGCCGAGGAGACACTAAGCACTTTTATTAAAAAAGATGGCCAAAAAGTAGAATTGGAAAAGATGGAAATATGAAAATATTCCTGTGCATTCATAATGGCTGACATTGCTGTATCATGTCATTGGTCTGCTGAACGATATTCCTGTAAACTACGATCAAAATCGTCATGATTTCCAGCACACTTATTTAATGTTTATTCTATCCAAGGCTCTGCTGAGAGCCACAGGAGATGAATAAGACATGGCCTATGGCTTCAAGAAACTTCAAGAATTGTATTGTAGAGCTAGGATTTAGGTACATAGAAAAGTAAGCATAACAAAGGGAAGATTACAATGGATGCCAAGTTTGTATGCACACAGGAATTCAGGGAAAGAAGAGGAGTCTCTGCACAAGAAGGTTTGATGGAGGAAATAGAATTTGCTCAAGTCTTTCGTTAAGATTTTGATAAGAAAGCTAAAAATTAAAAAATAAAATGCTCCCACATTGAGAAGTAATTGAAGTTGCCTTTACTTGTGCTTGTGAATGTATTTTGTGGGATATGTTTGAGGGGAATATGTTTGGGAAGTAGTTTTTCAATACAAGAACAGACATTAGTGAGATTTTTGAATGTTGTACTTTAGTACATACTGGAAAAGAAATAAGATGAAACACATTTTCAGTCAAATAACGTAATATAATATGAAAAGTATTGCCGGTTGTCAGTCTGATAATCAGAATATATTTTAACTTTTTTTTAAAAAAGCTAAATAACTATAAAACACCAAGATAAATTTTCCTCGAACATTCAGTGACTCACTGGATGAGTCATACATTTGAAAAATTTCTGCTCTTTTCAATGTACCTTGGAAATTTTCCATATTGTAAACTATGTTTTTTTACATGCCTATAAGAAACAAAAACCATGTTTGGAAATCCACTGTCTATTTGAATCTGGAATATTAATGCAATGTGGTTTTATATGGTCTGAAAGTTTTATATATTTATGCCATGTAACTTGATTAGTATCTAAACTTTGAAAAATATTCAGGGTAGAAAAATGATAAATTACTCGTCATGACAGAGTTTCAAAGGTCTGTAGAAAGACCTGGGTATTTTGTAGCACACAAGAGGTGATATGCCTTGGGTGTGACTTCCCTGGGTGGGTTTTGAAAGCAACCTCTACTTTAACAAGACAGTTGTGAATCAAGAGTCAAGTTAATTTTTGATTACTGGTAAGTAAACATTTTAAAACTGGAGCCCCACTTTTAGATGTGGTGGTGAGATTATATTGGTCTCCATTCATACCTAGAAGCACCTTAGTCTGATGGTTTATTCTATAAGCAAGGCATTACCAGATGCAAATCTCCTTGTTTTAGCTTAACTCTTGTATTATTCACAAGAATGCCAGAGCAGATATATTAATACTAGTCCGCAACTGGCATTATTCCACATACTCAAGAGTTTTCATTCTGGGATAAACACCACTCACCCAGGGCTAAAAGTAGCATAAGTGAAAGAAAATCACATTCCCTGCTGCATTTTCCTTTTTTGATGACTAAATGCATCCAAACTATGGATCAGCAAACCTTTACTGAAAGCTGATTAAATAGTATGATAGAAACTATTCCTGCTATAGACATGTGCTGTACAGTATGACTGCCACTAGACACATTGCTGTTGGGCTCTTGAAATGTGGTTATTTGAATTTAAAGTGTTGTACGTGTAAAATACACACACAGTGTTCAAATACTTAGTATGAACTGGGAATGTAAAATATCTCATTAGTAATTTTAAAATGTTGATTACACATTGAAAGAATATTTTGGATATATTGGGTTAAATAAAACTATTAATAATGTTAATTTCACTTGGCTTTAATTTTTTAACCTGGCTACATAAAATTAAAAATTACAGATGTGGCTCATATTCTATTTCTTTTGGATAATGTTGCTATAGACCTTCAGAGAATGGACCCAGAAACAAGTGTTGAAAAATATGAAATACTAGAAAAAACAGATGAGGTCTCAGCTGAGTCTTGAATGAGATAGAGGCTTTGAATTAGAAAATGAGAGATGGGTAAGTGTGTTTTTGGATAGGAGATTAAGATAAATAAACTGGTGTAGAATTGTAGGTGTTAGAAACCAAAGATTTATTTTAAGTAATAGTGCAGAGTATTTGGTTATCTTATAAAGGGTGATAAATTCTGAGCACTTACTACCTTAATAAACTTAGTTATCTATTATTGAGTGCTTAGAATATGAATTTTGCATATATAAATTTTCATTTAAACTCTACAACAATCATATAAGGCAAGTTTTATCATATCAATTTTATTTATTTTATTTTATTTCATTTTTGAGACAGAGTCTTGCTCTGTCTCCCAGGCTGCAGTGCAGTGGCTTGATCTTGACTCACTGTAGCCTCCATCTCTCAGGTTCAAGTGATTCTCCTGCCTCAGCCTCCCGAGTAGCTGGGATTACAGGCACCTGCCACCATGCCTGGCTATTTTTTTTGCATTTTTAGTAGAGACAGGGTTTTGCCATGTTGGCCAGGCTGGTCTCAAACTCTCGACCTCAGGTGATCCACCTGCCTTGGCCTCCCAAAGTGCCAGGATTACAGGTGTGAACCACCGCACTTGGCCAAGTTTTATCATATCCATTTTATAAGTGAGGACACTGAGGCTTAGATTGGCTTCATGAATTACTGAATATCACACAAGTAGTAAGGAACTGAAACCTTGAGTGTCTAACCTCAAAGCTTATGGTTTTAACCACAGCATGGGACACAGTTTCACCATAAAGCTAATGGAGCTTTACCCTGCTCCCACACTTGTATGTACTCCTTCCAGGGGGAGGAGCTCAAGTAATGCGTTCCCATGGTCATACGCTTTTGTAAACTTTGCCAAATTAAACCACTGTCACCATATCAGTTATAACTGCTGGGACTGTTTTGACTCTGATCTCACCCAGTCACACCTCCCTTTATGCCAGGCAGTGATGGATTGGCACTTTGGGGATTTGGCTGAAGAGAAAGTTCAGTTGGCTATAAACTTGCTTTGGGTTCAGTGAGTTACTTGTGTGTTTCCCAGTCCCTTTGATGCACAATTACTTTTTTTCTAGCCCTCCCAAGGTAGAAATAGCTATCAGGAATACTCTTACTACCCACTCCACCAGCTCATCTGGGGTCTCAACCAAAGATACAGAGCCATTGGCCACATTGTAATATTAACTTGACTTATGATATCAGAAGGATGCAGGTCATGGAAGAAAAAAGAAATGCTTTAAATATAAAAAGCTGGAACTAGTTTGTGGAAAAGCCTAATTCCTGGATATATAAAATTATGTGGAGAATTTGATTCTCATTGAAAACTAGTCAAAATGGAATATGCTTGATCTAGCAGCTTATACAATTATAAAATAAAGTACATTAATTTTCTTTTTTGATGTGAATCATGCCAAATAGAGGCTAAGAATTCCTGTGTTTGTAGACACAAGCCTGTAACAAGACTGCAAACATTGAGTGTGACTATGTGAAGTCCCCTGTTTTTGCATCCTAATGTATGAAATTGTTTTAGCCCATCTGACACCTTGTTTTAGTGGTTCCACATGATGAAACGCATCAAAACTGCCATTGACAGAGCAAAATGGGCCGAAGTTTTTCTAAACCATTAAAAAAATTTATTAACAATACTATATGAAAGAAAGAAAATTATTGTCATATGAAGAAGTATGCAGCCAAAATGTGGCATTTTAGAGGAAGTGTCAGGCAGTTAATAAATAGAAACATTATATTATTTTTCTGGATATTGTATGTTTGTGGTACTTGTCAGCCTTTAATCTTTGTAATTTGTCATGAATTCTTCTTTATCTTAAAGAAATATTTTGGACCTACGTTGACACTGACAGCTATTTCTTACAGACAGTCTCCCAAATAGTATATGCTTCAGGCATTACAAGACCTGGATTCGTGCTTGAACTGTACTGTATAGCTTCACAGGAACTATGGAGGGTTCTGGGGAAACATATATTAAATATTTAGAGGTCACAAAGCCCTACGGAATGTGTGGAAGAAAGTCCGTCTATGATGCTATTGATTCTCGTAACTTCCCTTTGCAAAACAGTGGATCAGACAATGAGCTCTCCATTTTGCAACTTGAGAAAGCGGAGCCTAGACAGATACTATATTATGTATCCCAAATTCAGCAACATAGGCTGATGCATTGACATCACCGAGGTTAGACTGCTTTCTACGGTGGTGATGCACCAACGAGATCATGGCTGGTAAAAGAGAGAAAAAGACTGAGTGAAAGAGGGTAGGAAAGGTGAAGGAAATAAATGAACATTTACTGAGGGCCTTACTTGCATCAGGCCCTGTATCCTTCCTTCACTTTCACATGATTATCTTAGTTAATGCATCTTCAAATGTCTGTAAGGTATAAAGAAATATCTATGATGCATTACATTCTTACTGCCTGATTTTATGACTTTTCTGGGGTGCTCATAATCCAATAGGGAATGAAGGTAAAGCAGGAGGGCTCTAGGATCACACCAGAAAGTTCAGGAAGATGGAATCATAAAATAAATGCAGCCACCACATCGAATAACACTGCACAGTGTTATTTCCTTGAGAGTACAAATACTTTCTTCTCTGGGGAAACATCACCTACTAAGCCGAAGACCTGTAATCAGTCACTATGGTGTAAGATACATGATCTGGTTTTGCAAAAAATAATTCTTTCTTCAGTCATTTAAGAAAACAACTTAACTTAGATTTAGAAATATGCATGTTGCTAATCATAGTGGTGTGAAGCAATAGTTCTGATTCATGTTTCTTGAATCTTTTTTCATATGTGTTCCTGAATTTAACATCAAACACTGGGAGCTACGAATGATTTTTTTTAACTGCCAACCAGATTTCTTAGGATTCAGGAATGCACGCCTGCCAGGGAGCGTTCATAATTGTATTTATATGCTGGATCAGTACTATTTTTGTGACCTTTACATTCACAGACCGACAGAATTATACAGGTCTATCTATCTGCTTGGTGTCATCATGAGTGAGGAGGAGCTCCCAACACTCTGAGGAAATAAACATAATCCTATGAGCATATCTCCTATATGTTCTTATTTTGCATTATACACAGCAGATATGAATTATATCAGCCCCTGCCCACATTCCAAGCCACTACTTCTTAATGTGGCTTTCTTTGAAACAGTTCTTAAAATTGCTATTCCCATACTGCGGGCAAGTTGCTTTGAAATATTATTCAATGGCTTCATTACAGCATTTTCCTTTTTAGAAATTAACTTCAGGTATCCCCAAAGCTCTCATCTCCCACTTTTCTCGAAAAAAAGAAGACAGTATTTATGTAAATGATACATAGAATCATAGGTGAGCAGCACGGTGCAAGGCATTCTAAATGATTCAACAACATACAAACAGACAAGAAGAGATTTAATATGAGAAGTCTGCAATCCCTGCATTCTTGTATCTTGTCACTTGTTTTTTTTGTTTG